TGGGCAGAAGACATGAACAGACACTTCTCCAAAGACGACATACAAATTGGCTAACAGACACATGAAAAGATGTTCATCATCATTAGCCATCAGGGAAATTCAAATCAAAAACACACTGAGATGCCACCTTACACCAGCTAGAATGGCAAAAATTGACAAGACAAGAAACAACAAATGTTGGAGAGGTTGTGGAGAAAAGGGAAGCCTCTTACACTGTTGGTGGGAATGCAAGTTGGTATAGTCACTTTGGAAAACAGTGTGGAGGTTCCTCAAAGAATTAAAAACAGAGCTACCCGATGACCCAGCAATTGCACTCCTGGGTATTTACCCCAAAGACACAGATGTAGTGAAAAGAAGGGCCACATGCACCCCAATGTTCATAGCAGCAATGTCCGCAATAGCCAAACTGTGGGAAGAGCCGAGATGCCCTTCAACAGATGAATGGATAAAGAAGATGTGGTCCATATATACAATGGACTATTACTCAGCCATCAGAAAGGGTGAATACCCAACTTTTACATCAACATGGATGGGACTGGAGGAGATTATGCTAAGTGAAATAAGTCAAGCAGAGAAAGTCAATTATCATATGGTTTCACTTATTTGTGGAACGTAAGGAATAGCACGGAGGACATTAGGAGAAGGAAGGGAAAAATGAAGGGGGGAAATCGGAGGGAGAGACGAACCATGAGAGACTGTGGACTCCAGGAAACAAACTGAGGGTTTTAGAGGGGATTGGGGGCTGGGGGGAATGGGTTAGCCCAGTGATGGGTATTAAGGAGGGCGCGTACTGCATGGAGCACTGGGTATTATACACAAACAATGAATCATGGAACACTACATCAAAAACTAATGATGTACTGTATGGTGACTAACATAATAAAGATAAATAAATAAGTGAAAAAAAAAAGGAAAAAGGCAAGCATGTCCTCTCTGATCACTCCTTTTCAGTATCATACTGGAAGTCCTAGCTAATACAATAAGAGAAGAAAATGAAACAAAAGGTATACACTTCAGGAAGGAGGAAATTTTTATTTGCAGATGACATGATTTTCTATCCAGAAAATTCCAAAGTCAACAATGACAATAACAAAACCTCCTGGAACTAATAAGCAATAGCAGCAAGGTTGCAGGATACAAGGTTAAAATACCAAAGTCAATCACTTTCATATATACCAGCAGTGAACATGTGGAATTTGAAATTAAAAACAGGGGCGCCTCAAGTGGCTCCATCGGTTAAGTGTCTGCCTTCAGCTCAGGTCATGATCCTATGGTCCTGGGATCGAGCCCCACGTCTTGGCATTTTCTTTTTTTTTTTTAAGATTTTATTTATTTATTTCACACACACAGAGAGAGAGAGAGAGAATAAGAAGGGGAGAGGCACGGGTCACCTGGGTGGCTCAGTTGTTAGGCGTCTGCCTTCGGCTCAGGTCATGATCCCAGAGTCCTGGGATTGAGCCCCGCAACAGGCTCCCTGCTCAGCGAGGAGTCTGCCTCTCCCTCTCCCTCTGGCCCTCCACCCCTGCTCATGCTCCCTCTCTCTCAAATAAATAAAAAGTCTTTAAAAAAAAAAACTTTTGAAATCAAAAACAATACTATATGCATTAGCGCCAAAAAATGAGTATTTAGGTATAATCTAACTCTGTTGAAACAAAGAAGAACTAATTAAATGGAGAGGTATCCCATGCTCAGAGATTCAATATTGTCAAGTTATCAGTTCTTCCCTAATTGATCTATAGATTCAATGCAACCCAAATCAAAATCCTAGCAAGTTATTTTGTGGATATCAATAAACTGATTCTAAAGTTTATATGGAGAGGTAAAAGACCCAGAATAATGAACACAATTTTGAAGGAGAAAAGTAAAGTCAGAGGACTGACTCTCTCTGACTTAAAGACTTACTATAAAGCTACAGTAATCAAGACAGGGTGACACTGTGAAATAAACAAAAAGATCAATAGAACAGAGTAGAGTGCCCAGAAATAGACCCCCATCAATAGAGTCGATTAATCTTTGACAAAGGAGCAAAGGCAATACAATGTGAGCAAAGATAGTCTCAATAAATGGTGCTGGAACAACTGGACATCCACATGCCAAAAAAAAAAAAAATGAATCTAGACACAGACTTTTCATCCTTCACAAAAGTTAACTGAAAATGGAGTATAGATCTAACTGTAAAGTGCAACACTATAAAACTCCTGGAAGACAACATAGGAGAAAATCTAGATGACCCTGGATGTGGCAATGACTTTTTAGATACAACACCAAGGGCGTAATCCATGATGGAAGGAATTGATAAGCTGGACTTGCTTATCAATTTTTTAACTTTTGTTCTGTGAAAGACACTGTCAATAGAATGAGAAGATAAGCCACAGACTAGGAGAAAATATTTGCAAAAGATATATCTGATAAAGTCCTGTTATCTAAAATATACAAAGAACCATTAAAACTCAATAATTAAAAAAATGAAAAATCCAACTTAAAAATGGGCAAAAGACCTGAACAGACACCATGAAAAGATATATCGATGGCAAATAATATGAAAAGATGCTCCACATTGAATGTCACTGGAGAATTGCAAATTACAACAACGAGATACTACTAGAGTAGCCAAAAATCCAACACAGTGACAACACCAAATGCTGACAAGAATGTGGAGCAATAGGAACTCATTCATTACTGGTGGGAAAGCAAAATGATACAGCCACTTTGGAAAACTGTGGAGCAGTTTCTTACAAAAATAAACATACTGTTACCATCCAATCCAACAATTGCACTCTTTGATATCTATTCAAAGGAGTTTAAAACTCATATCCACACAAAAACCTGCACACAGATGTTTGTAGCATCTTTACTCATAATTGTAAAACCTAGAAGCAACCAAGATGTCTTTCACTGGGCAAACTGTGGTACATTCTAGACAATGGATTATTCAGCCCTAAAAATAAATGAGCTATTAAGCCATGAAAAGACTTGGAGGAACCTTAAATGCATAATAGTATTAAGTGAAGGATGTCAATCTGGAAAAGTTACATATTGCATGATTCCAATTATATGACATTCTGGGAAAAGCAGAACTATGGAGATGGTAAAAATATCAGTGGTTGCCAGGGGTGAGAGAAGAGGGAGGGATAAACAGAGAGAGCACTGAAGAATTTCAGGGCTATGAAACTACTCTGCGACATTATAATGGTGGATACATGTCATTATACATCTGTCAAAACCTACCCACTGTACAACAAACACCAAGAGGAAATCCTAATGCAAATGACGGACTTCAGGTGACAATGAAGGGTTGACGTAGGTTCATCAGTTACGACAAATGCACCGCCCTAGTGGGGATGTTGCTAGTGGGGGTGGCTATGCATGCGTGAGGGTCAGGAAGTATGTAGGAATCTCTGCACTTTCCTCTCCATTCCTCTGTAAACCCAGAACTGCTCTAAAAATAAAGTCTATTTTTTTTAAGTTAAAAAAATGGGAATGACAAAACCAAAACTCAGGAGAGGGTGATAAAAGGTGATGGGTTGCCGATATAAACAAAGGGCTTCTAGGATTCTGGTTAATTCTTAAGCTGAATGACAGATCCCCAAATGGATGACTGATGACTTTTCTGAGTCACTGGATGTACGCCACCCACCCCCCGACCCCCCCCACCCCCGTGCTGACCTTAGAAGATAACAGCTTTTCCATATTGTTTGAACTCCATTTTGAGTGGTGCTTTCTGTTTTTCACAGTTAAAATCACTCAAACTGATAGTCTCTTAATTTGGATGCAGCAGAACTGGGGTCTGATTTAGCATGTCATCATTTCCTCGTATTCTGTTTGTCTAAACATATCATTAAAACCTTGTCTTAGTTACCCCCCAACTATAAAAAAGACTTGTTTGGGAAAAAAAGAGGCTGTAATTAAAACAACTCAGTATTTTTCCAATCCTAAAAGGTATCTTCCTTGAAAACATTCTGATTAAGCATGTGTGATACCAAGGACAACCAAGACTTTTTAAAAAATCTATAAATCACCAAACAGATAAGGAGTCAGGCTTGTACTCTTGCCCTCCATAGGGAACAGCTTAATCTGGCCGGAAGATCACACATTTCCCATTGGAGTTACAGGCTGGAGGTCAGACCACAGGCTGAATTCAGCTACCACAGGAGTTCTTAAAAGGAGAGCAAACAAGGAAACAAGGAGATTTTTGTTCAGAAAGGGGCATGGTCTCTGCTGTTTGGGCCAAAGAAATAAAGAGCAGTGGTTTCTCCACAGACAAGTCCTATACTTGAGACTGTGTCCTGCTTAGGAGAGGACTTCCATCCCACCTACTTGCAGATATAAAGAAATGCGCAGACCAGAAAGGGAGTGGGGCAACAGAGGGACTTACACAGGCACACACCCTTTATCCTCTCTACCAGACGGTATGAGCCAAGCCCTTCACCTGCACGCTTCCATTTAATCCTCAAGACAACCCTGCAAAAGCAAGTCTGCTCGTCTCACAGGACAAAGATGCAGAGAAGTTGAGTACGCTGCCAGAGGCCGCCCACCAGGGGTTGGTGGAGCTGAGAGTCAAACCTATGTCTGTCCCACTCTAAAGCTCGTATTCTTCTCCTTATTATCACATACAAGAACCACAAAGAATACCACAGAACAACTCAGCCTTAGGCTTCAAAGGCTGCCCCCGCGCCCCGCCCACGTCTCTTGCCCTCTCCTGTCAAGTGTAGTGCGGGCCATACCATAAAGATGCAGACCCCGCTAAGCTCAGTAGGATTCCATTATGAAAAGGGATTCCTACATCCTCGCTTCCCAGACCACAAAGTCTGGCCCTCAGAGCCACCATCCACCTCACACATGCATCATCTCGGCCACCAGAGGAACAAGGTTGGGAAAAAAACCAAACACCAAAGGGGGGGGTTTGCTCAAGGCAACTACACCCTGTTTGCCCCAGTCCAGCCTCAGTCTGAAGCTACTTCCTGCTGCTTGTTCTATTGACAGTAATTGCCACAAATTACCTAAGGTCCAACAAGAGACAGCCCTCAGGAGGGAGGCACTGCCATAGAGAGCGTGCATGTACATGAGGTGAACCATCAGCTCAGCCAACCACCAATAGCAGAGGAGGCGAGCCAGCCCCACGGCAAAGGCGGAAAGGTTGGACTTCAGCGAGCAGTCCTCTTGCTGCTGCATCTAAAGTAGAAACAAAAGAAGCCATTAGATTGTGCCTTCGTTTTTTAAATCTTCCAAAGAGTCCCCTATACAGTATTGCTAGTCAACTTCTCACAAACATTACTGCTCTATCTACCCAAAGAGGGTTGGATTCGTTATTCATTATTCTTGGGTGAAAAAGTCATGCCCGAGCTTGGGTGGGGTCAATGAGCTAGCCTCGTGCCAAGAACCACGAGGGGTTCTGCATCCCTTCACCGCAGCAACAGCCCTACAAATACCCAGGGTGGAGGGCAGCGCCTGATGTATTCTCCCTCAGGACTTTGGGGTCTCTTTGGGCTCAGGTGTCACCCTGCCTATCTCCATCCATCGCCCACCCACGTGGAAGGCTGGTAAAAGTAGGGCCAAGTCAGGAAGGGGCAGAGAACTAGTAAGAGAAAGGGAGAATGAGAGAGCCTGAGGACAAGGGAAAAATTCAATGTGGGTGTGTCATCTTACCTGAAGTTGTTTTTGAAACAAGGCAGAATAAACACAAACAGAGACAGTATGTGGGACAAGTCTCCTGCTCAGCAGACAGTGCAGTGTGACAGTAAGGAACACGGACTTTGCAGTCAGAATCGGGACCAGATTCTAGCACAAACCACACAGCTGTGTGATCCTGAGCAGGTTACTTAATCTTTCTGAGGCTTGGTTCCCTCATACGTAAAGTGGAAAAAAAATATGGTCACAACTAAATACGATAACATATATGAAGTACTAAGCACAGCACCTGGCATATAAGAAGCACCGGCTAATTGGTAGTTAGTATCTGGTAGGTTACATGCCTCCTACTGCACCTTCTTCACATTCTTCCCTCATGGCATCCCAGACTACCAGCTACAGGGCAGAATTAGGACACAGGTCAGAACCAAACACCAAAGGTGAGAGAAGGACCTTTGGATTATTCATGGACACAGACTACTGAGAGTTCACCCAACATGTATGCACAACACAGAACCAGTTTGATCACAGTAGCCGGATTCTGGGTCTTGCCTCACTGCCTGCTGTTTAGGGATGCACAATAGTTTAAAACACATAGATGCTGAAATGCATAAGCACATTATAAAATGTGTGTGAATTCAATTTCAGCTGTACACCACTAGACAAACACACAAACACAGGAGAGAGCGCGAGAGTGTTCTGGGTCCCACTCTGACAAGATTTTATTAGACCGAAGCCCGCCTTGTAATGCAGAGGTGAAGCTAATGCATAAATGATGACGTTGAATCCGCAAACATTCGCTGGCAGAAGAAATGGACTTGATTTAGCTTTTGACGGTCTGGGCTCCAGACACTACCCAAAGAGGAAAGGCCCATTCCTAGGGCCTCTCGGGCTTCCCCGGCCTTGAATGTCAAAGGCACAGGGGGTCCTGCTGCAGCCAGAAGCAATAGGCACTACCCTCAGAGAGGAAGGGAGATCTGCATACCAGGGGAGTTATTTTTGTTCCATTTTGACCATACATTCTACCACTTTCCCAAACTGTCCTCTCAGCGCAAGACACCAGCTTCACAAATTCTGGCTGGCTCAGCGGCATCATGATAACCTGCACAAAGGGCTGTGCTCCCTTTTGCCATCGGCGTGGGTAGCTACACCAAGGAAAGCTCGTTGGCTTAATATTTTTTCTTGTAAATTGATCAAACTAACAGGAATTTCCTTTCTCCATTCACTTTCCACAGTTGGCCTTAGGAAGATATTTTGCCCAGCCACAGCAACCTGCCTTGTTAGAAGCAACAGTCACTGCGGGGAGGGATCCACCAGGTCACGTGGGAAGGGTTTTCCCAGAAGGAAGACTGGGCATATCAGGGCTTTGCAGATCCACAGAGATCACAGCCAACTGCAATCGCAGCTGAACTACTTGACCCAATGCACATCCCTTTCCAGGCATAAACTGAGGGTGGTTTTCATTTGAATGCATTCCTTAAGTGTGCATGCTCTGCGAGAGCATACAGAATCTACAGCAGTGGATCTGTAGGCCAATGGATGGGTAAAGCCTCAAAACAGAGATGCCCACCTGCCCAATCATTCACGTCTGTTACTGAATTGAGAAGAAAAGGAAATAACCCAAATGTCCAGCAGTGGGAGGTTGGTCAAATGCATGAGTGCACCTCAATATTATGCAGCCATGAAAACTACTTTTTTCAATGTGTATAACTAATGAAAGACTGGAAAGATACACACCAAAATGGCAACAGTGATTGTATTCTTTTTGGTAAGATTTTTAGATTGCTTTTGACCATTGGTTATTTTTTTTTATTTTATTTATTTATTTGAGAGAGAGAGAGCACATGAGAGGGGGGAGAGTCAAAGGGAGAAGCAGACTCCCCGCTGAGCAGGGAGCCCGATGCGGGACTCGATCCCGGGACTCCAGGATCATGACCTGAGCCAAAGGCAGTTGCTTAACCAACTGAGCCACCCAGGCGCCCCGACCATTGGTTATTTTTATAATAAGGGGAAAGTAATGGAACTTCACAATATTGTGAAGAGTTGGGTCCCCTCTGTTAATGAGGCAAGGTCTTCCACTTCTTCACCCTTCTAAAAAATATCTAGCTTCAGGATCTCACCTGGGCAGCCTGGCATCCTCTACGGGTAAATACTCTGCTCGCTCTCCTACAATGGACCCATCTTTATTTCTCCTCCACTTCCCACCTCAGTGGTTGACTTTCTTACCTATATACTGAGGTCCCCTTTGTTCCTTCTTTTCCAGCTCTCTAAAGCAAATTCACTTTGACCTCACTGCCATCAGCATATGAGGGAACAATTATGAACATAGTGTCCATTGGTCTGTGGAGACCGGAGGAGTTCACACCAAGGCCATCGGCTAAGCTGAGACATGAAGAGGCACCCAAACCATTCCAGACCACAGGTGGGCCTTTCTTGGTGCCACACCCTTGGAGGGAAGCAAGTCCCCACCTAAATGTGATAATGGCCTCAAAAGCAGTGTGGACAGAACACAATCTTCATACAGCAGAATGTCTCCAGTTTCTAAATAAGCAACTCTGCACGTGGCCTGTAAGCCCCTGAGCGTAAGCCCACCCCAAGCTCCGGTCTCCTGAAGACCAGACCTGTACCTGAGGCCGCAGAGCATCCCTGGGGATGCAGCCCCAGCCCTGGGAGCAGAGAAGCAGCTGGATGGGAGGGGAGCCCCACCAGGCAATCAGGAAACACGTCTACCCAATCACCTCTTCGCTCCGGGCAATTGCCGTTCAAGTTCAGTTCAGAGGCCTGCCTTAGCTTCCCCAAACAATGTGCAGTCTAAAATGACACAAATATCTGTAAATAAGGAGAAACATGAGGTACATTTTGTGGCTGATTGGCTCCCCAATAATGGCTTATCTACTCTCCCCAGGACAAAACTTCTCTACCCGGGTTAATAAGGTATAATTATGTGTCACCACTGGACCAGAAGGGCTGGACTTTTCTCTGCAATGCCCTCTTTTTGATGCTGGATGCCACCTCATTCAGAGTAACATAATTGTCTTCCTTAATCATACAAGTGAATACAGGAGAAGAAAAATAATCCAGGTTTTTTTTTTTATTCTATTTGCTTGTACTTAAAAAAATGGTTATTCATCTTTCTTAAGAGTCATATGATTACAGTCCATTTATACCTTCAATCTAGTTGACTCCCTTTTATTTAAAAAATTCAGCATTTGTCCCTTGTCAACCCAGCAGGAATAAAAGATATGCCATACACAGCTCACCTAATGAGCAGGGCTGTTCTCTTGTCTGCATGCAAGCATTTCATTTGAGATATCTCAAACCTCGGGGAGTGCCAACCTTCAGACCACTGGAAACTACCATCAATGGGAATTTTTAGTTAAGACTCCACTAAAAAATACACATTAACTCATCTGCAAAGTGCATTTTAAAACACACTATATTTCAAAACCTCATTTCATGCAAATTGCATAAAAAGGAATATCGAAACCTTTCAAAGATAGTCTGACGATTAAAGACGACAGTTCTCAAAGATGAAAGGTTCTTTCCCTTCACACGCTAACAATACGGATGTTTAAGAGCACCAAACAAAAGCCTTCCCTGGAACCAGGGTTCGACTGTGCTGACTCTGCTCCCACCTCTACACTGGGTCAAGAGCACTGTAGCCAGGAGTCTTATCCTTTGTGATAGAGGAGCATCTCTGCAACTCATGGTCACAGACCCTACCTACTCCCAACAAAGCCTTCTGTAATGAGCCCCCCTCCTCCTCCCCAGGCATCCAGACCACGGCCAGTGGGAATCCCCCCAGCTCTGCCACAACAGCAAGTGGCACCCACAGCTGCTGCAGCTGCTGCAGGACTGGGACCTGCTCCAGCCAGCTTGAGCCTCCAGACCCAGAGGTCCGCGAGGCCACACTGCATCCTCTAACTCCAATTGGGCAGCCAGCCCCACATGTGTATTCCTTCCACCCTGATGTGCATTCTATCAGACTCTCTTTGCCTCTGTGTTACCATCTGTAAAGTGGTGGTAACAAGAGTATCTCTCTTCTCCAGTGACTGTGAGGATGAAGGAGTTAGCACATGCCAAGTCTGGCTCGGAGCAGGCGCTCGGTTGGTGTTATGTATTACAGTCTGTATTATTCCAGGTGGTCTCTAGAGCCAGAGCCCACCCCAAACCCGAAGTGGCACATCTGGAACACTGCCTGCCCAGCTCTTACCCACCCTAGCCACTCCAGGGCTGGGCCCACCCTGGCACCTGCAGCAACCACCTGTGTCTCTCTCCTGAAGAGACAGAATCAACACACTGGTCCCTTCTGAGGCCAAGAATGGCCACTGCCCAGGATCCCCTGCTGCTGTGCCCACCTACATGATGGGACAGCCCGGGCCTTGGTTCTGGCCTAAACCTATGTTAGTTCCCAACCTCGGGAGCTTCCTGGGGTAAAATCTGAAACTGGTCCCTCTACGTGGAGGGCAGGGAGAGATCGAAGAGGAAGAGCACTCCAGATTGGTAGGTGGCAGGTGTGATGAGCAGAGGAACTTACATACAAGGCTGGTCTTGAGTGGCTTCAAGATCTCCACCCCCGCCTACCAAATCTTGTAAGTTTATGTAGAGGCCTTAACCGGGTCCAGAGATCACATATTCAGTCCAGAGGGTCTCAACGACACCTTACTCTCTCAAGGCTGTGCCCTTGAAATAGCTCCTGGTGGGGAATGGCAGGCAGAATGTACATTCTAAGGACAGGGGAAGGCGTGAGGAGCCTCCGATTGCCTGGGCTCAGCTTGTGGGGCAACCAGCAGTCACAGCCTCTCCATGACCTCCTCCAACAACTTCCCCCGGAATTGCCACCTGCTTCCGGCAAACAACAACAGTAATGTTAACGCTTCACAGCATTTACATGTGAAGCCATGTTCCCTATACGAAATCAATTAATTCTTACAACAGTCCTAAGAGGGAGGTACTATTATCCTTCCCATTTCACTGATAAGGGAACAGGAGTCACAAATAAGGTAAGTAATTCACCAAATGCTCTCAAGCCGGAGCTAAGCAGGAATTCAAACCCTGTGACAATGACAATAGAGTTGGGCTCCAGGGTCTTTGCTCTTAGCCACCATGCAAGCTGTTTGAGCACTGGCTCATCCACTGGGGGTAGGAGCATAGCCCTCAGTAAGGAAAAGCCCCCTGGTCCTACCACACTCTGCCTCACCGTCCTCTCCCACACCAGACCCCACTGCACAATTCAACCTGCTCAGAGTAAGATGTGGTGGCCCCAGGCTCCAAGCTAAGTGAATAAATAAGCCTCATGTGTAAGTGTCTCTGCTGATTAAACCTGCCCCCCAGCCACCCCATCCTCTGGCATCACCCTTTGCTCAGTATCTGAGTTCCACAGACCATGGGAAAAAAATAAACGGGGCACATGTTCCTGAAACTCCAAATGCCATCTGAGATGGCCTTCAAGTTAAGGCACTGTGGCCTTTTAACAGGCAAATTTTTACCTGCTCATGATCAGTGTGCAAATTTAACATGCCTTACTTCACAGAGGACACCTCTTCTGGCTTCCCTCATCTTGTGTATGCAATTTACATACTAAAAAAAAAATTGGGTGAAAGATACATTCTCCCCAAGGTGCGCCTAATATCGGCATTTTATCAACAAGAGTCTGCCCTTCTGGTTGGTTTCTTCAGTGGGGCTCTGCTGCCCCCTGGTGGCAGAGCCTCATTCTTTGGCTCTCATTGACCGGACAACCTAAGAACCATGAATTTCAGTATTACCATTTCATGTTACATTTATTCATTCACTCACACACTCATTCAGAGCAAACATTGCTTATAAGTTCTCCCAGCTGGCTTTCTTCCCCCTTCTAGCAACCTCTTCCTTCGTGGCCTCCCTGAAGGAATTCTTTCACTCCTGGCTTAGCTTCCTAGCTAACTTTAAGACCCATTTTTCTCAAAGGGGGTCAGCGCCCCATAAGACTTTCTGTAACTGCAGAAACCTCATGGCTGCCTTTATTTGCACAGCAGCTTACTAAACATTTTGCCTTTTCTAGACTGACTTTCCTATGAATCTTCCCAGACCACAGAAAAAGGTTCCAATTTGCCTTCTGCATTCTCTGCTTTTAGCAAGTGCTCCCATTTTGAAAAGAGTGAAAAAGAGAGGGGTAAGACAGAGATGCAACCAGAGTCTCCATACCTGAGTCCCTATAGGAAGAAACCTGGTCATCCCCAGCCTCCAGCCCCCAAATCTGCCAAAGAACTCAGGACAGTAGTTCTCAACCTCTAGCAGGCAGCAGAATCACCTGGAAGGCCTATTAAATCACATTGCTGGGCCCCACCCCAAAGTGTCTGAATCAGATCTGAGGTGGGGCCCAAGAATTTTCATTTCTAACAAGTTCCCAGATGATCCTTCTGTTGCTGGTCCAAAGACCACACTTTGAGAACCGCTGAGTTAGAAATCAGCTGCCATCACTAACCACCTGTCTTCTACACAATAATCTTAAAACATAATTTCCAAACATGAACTTCAGATTACTTCAGGACAGAAGAATGATCCTATGTAACCTAAACTGAGGTATGAGAAACCATATGCTAAACACATATCTGCCTAGAATATCAATTTCACTTGAAGATTTATGGAGGAAAAGTTAAATAATTTAACTGGCAATTTGAAAACCGCACATTGCTATAATGTGTATAATGAAATACACAAGTGTATGTGTATACACATTAACATAATATATGGATAAATATACAATATAAACAATTATAAAATATAATGAAATACACTTTTGAGAACAATGAATAACTGCGTGGGCTTTTGAAGACAGAATATGGGATTTCTAAGAACACTGCTAGTTTTCCAGGGGGCACCTTCCATATTGCCCTTTGAAAATACGCAACACTGCTCTTGGCCCTGAACTTTGAACTCATTCCAGGAGTGTGTATGTACATGTGTGTGCATGTGTGTACATGTGTGTGCTGTGCACAGGCGTGTGCTGTGTTCTATGTGTGCATAGGTTGTGCTGTATGTGCACAGGTGTTGTTCTTCCCCACCTCCACCGAGACTGTTTTATTTTGGTGGTAGGTGGTAGAACTGTCCCTCGAGAAACACAGGTTTTAGGTATTATCGATGACTAAACCTTGATTGACTTCCTAAACTTGTTCCATGAGGCTGGCTGTGGAATGAGAGCAAAAATTCTAAGTAGGAGGGGAAGGAAGGGAGGTGGGAATGACAAAGGCAGCTTGACAGAAGCTTCAGACAAGGCTGAAGGGAAGCCAGGTCCAGGGCAGAAACAGGCACGTGGACCCCAAAACACACCACTACCATCCAACTCTCTCCAACTCTGCTCTGCTGTCTCATCTAGGTCACCCTGAACAACTCCCAGGCAATGACAGAGTTATTTCATAAGCAGTTTGTGACAATAAAAGACAACATGGTGTTTGCCAACCAACAGCTTTACTTTTCCAAGTAATACCATCACAATCCAATTTTTTCTTTCCCTGGGACTTCTTGGCAGTGGATACCCATCCCTAAGTTCCTTGCTGTGCCCAGTTACTCATCCCGGTTGCCAGAGCCCACCGAAGAGTCGTGGGGGGCAGGGGCAGTTCCTTGAGCCAACAGGCACAAGAGACAGGTCGACCTTTATTTCAAATACTTATTCCCCCTAAGTATTTCATTTCTTATGTAGGAAGTTACAACAATCACATGTTTTCAATCTGTGGGAACCCCTGAATGCAAAGCCTCAGGAGTCTCCTGGATGGCCACGGCCAGTAAGGACAAAGGTTTAATCTCCAGAATACCAGGCCAGTCCCCAGTGGGCTCTACCTTTGCGATGAACTCCGGGAAGCTGAGGATGGGCCCATTGTGGAAGACGGGGTAATAGAAGACATAGGCCACCAGCCAGGGAAAGGAGTAGAAGCTGCTCCCGGTGGGCATCTCCTGCCAGCAGAACTCCAGGCTGAAGCTGGTGTAGTAGAGGCAGCGCACGGTCAGCGTGAACTTCAGCAAGTAGTACTCGTTTTCTGTCTGGTACCAGCCTCTCTGCAAAGTCCCAAAAACAGAAGAGCCTTGAGTGTCAAGGAGGACACCATCCAGGCCCCTGGGAAGGAGACCGCTTCCGCGGGTAGAGTGGTTGTCCCATAAAGGGAACTGAGAACCAAGGGGCAACAGGTAAATCTCCCTGGTGATCAAACAAGTGGTTAATGTGCAGTGGGCGGTGGAGTGTCTCTACCACCACCCACCCACGAAGCATGAGGCCTGATGCACTATAATGAAAGTTCTCCTGGAGATGCATCTCTCAGATTCATCCAGACATGGATGTGCACTTTTTGGTGTGCACTTAAAAATATGGCTTCCAGGAATACACCAGTGGGTACTCTGATAGTTCCCCCAACAATTTGGAAGGCAAAAGAGAGGCTTGTAAATGTCACACAGGACTCCTGACTTCAAGGTAGTGTTCCTTTTGCTCTTCTGTTAAATTCATTTGGATCCACTGTAGTTGAGGACTATTTGCCAAAGAAGCTTTAGAAACACAGTCAAGCAAAATAGTCCCTGCCCTCGATGTATCTGAATTCTGTATAGGAGATAAGTATGGAATATATAATTACAATGCAACATGAAAAAAGAAATAACACACATGTACTAAAAATCTTAACAGTACAAGGGGGAGTAAAATTATGGGTCATTCTATAATCTTTATTTTTCTATATTGTCCATAATACATATGGGGTATTGCTTTTTTAAGGAGAAGAACAATTTATGGGAAATCAAGATAGAAAATTGGGACAAAGGAAGGAACAGTGAATGTGATGCATGAGGGTACTTTTAGGGCTTTCCACAGAAAAACTGAGCACTGAAGACTTTCTGTTTTTTGTTTTTTGGTTTTTTTTTTAAGAGTTTCTATTCCATGCCCAGGATTTCAGCAGCCACCAAGAAAGGCCGAGAGAAATACTTGTGCAAAAGCATGAAAACCAAAAGCAACTAATTTCTGGTCATCTGTTCCCACTGGGCAGCATTTTTCAAATCTCTAGTCTGCATAATAAATGGAATCCTTATTCACCACCAACATCCATAACTGATACTAACTATCCCCAAACAAATGATAATTACCACTGGAGTTTGTTTTGTACATTTGCCAGGTCCCCAAAAAGTTAGGTATGAATTCCTTTTTATTTGTATTGCAGATCTATTTTTAAGCACATGTATTTAAATGATCACCTAGTTAATCACTGTGGGAAGTGTCTTTTGTCAAGATGGAGCTGTTACTCTGGAAAACAGTATGGAGGTTCCTCAAAAAGTTGAAAATAGAGCTACCATACGATCCAGCAATTGCACTACTGGGTATTTACCACAAAGATACAAATGTAGGGATCCGAAGGGGTACATGCACCCCAAAGTTTATAGCAGCAATGTCCACAATAGCTAAACCATGGAAAGAGCCAAGATGTCCATCGACAGATGAATGGATAAAGAAGAGGTGGTATATATACACAATGGAATATTATGCAACCATCAAAAGGAATGAGATCTTGCCATTTGCAATGACGTGGATGGAACTGGAGGGTGTTATGCTGAGTGAAATAAGTCAATCAGAGAAAGACATGTATCATATGACCTCACTGATATGAGGAATTCTTAATCTCAGGAAACAAACTGAGGGTTGCTGGAGTGGTGGGGGGTGGGAGGGATGGGGTGGCTGGGTGATAGACATTGGGGAGGGTATGTGCTATGGTGAGCGCTGTGAATTGTGCAAGACTGTTGAATCACAGATCTGTACCTCTGAAACAGATAATGCAATATATGTTAAGAAAAAAAAAGAAGAAGAAGATAGCAGGAGGGGAAGAATGAAGGGGGGTAAATCAGAGGGGGAGACGAACCATGAGAGACGATGGACTCTGAAAAACAAACTGAGGGTTCTAGAGGGGAGGGGGGTAGGGGGATGGGTTAGCCTGGTGATGGGTATTAAAGAGGGCACGTTCTTCATGGAGCACTGGGTGTTATGAACAAACAATGAATCACGGAACACTACATCAAAAACTAATGATGTAATGTATGGTGATTAACATAACAATAATAAAAAAAATTTAAAGAAAAGAAAAAAAAAGATGGAGCTGTTACCCTACTTTCTTAAGTCTGGATTTTAACACATGTGCTTAGTGTTAGCCCCAATCTGTTGGTGAGAGTGAAGAAAAATTAAGATAGTATAACAGAAAAAATAATCGAATTTTCAAAAGGCTACAATTTTTACAAAATCACTTAACAGATATCATCTTATAAGAGCCTCAGAACAACTCCGTGAGGAAGTCAGAGCACCTATTACTTTCATTTTCGAAATGATGAAATTGAGACTCGGGTTAAATGACTGCCTCCAGTCTCAAGAGTAGGAAAGACAGTTACTAGAAAAGCAGGGGAACCAGGTCATCCACTGACTCATCTTTCCCTTCATGTTCTTTTCCACAACCTTGCCAAGTGCTGTCATTTGAACCAACGAATGAGTGAATGAACAAGAGAACAAAAATAAAGATACCACAGGAATTTCAGTTCCACAATGACTAAAGAAAGAATATCAAAACTTCCTAAGATTTTCTGGGCAAGGAAAACACCTGCCTTATCTGTCTCAGGGGCTATCATGGGCATTGGATGAGATAAGGAATGTGAAATTTTCCTATAAATTGTAGAGCACTCTACAGATGACTTTTTATTAAATGTACAGAAGACTATTGCTTTCTTTTCCCATTGTTCCTTGCCCTCTGTTTCTCCAACATCTGGCACCACCCATGCCTACCAAACTGGGAGAAGAGGTACAAGGTCAACCCTGGGCAACCTTAGAGAGCTAAGACATAGTCAGATCCAAGACAAGACTGCAGAATGCATCACACCAGGATTCACATGTATCAACCGCACATGGCCACTAGGGGGACCCCTACCACGGTTCAATTGACTCTTAGCTGAAACATAAGAAAGACATCTACCCAATGGAAGCACTGCCAAAGACAGCTTCTCCTTCCCAAGGGTTAAACGGCGACACTTACCTTAACTTCCTCCACATCTTGCAGCCTCAGTGTGGAGAGCAGGAGGAGAGAACAGAGCCATGTGAGGACCAGCGACTGGAACTGCGCTACACAGAAGGAGATGAGGGTGTGGAGAAAAATAATGGCCGTGCCGTGGGCCCCCAGCACACACCAGGAGGCCCATATTCCATAAGCCCCCAGGATCCAGGGTCTGTGCTGCAGACAGGGAGGGATCCAGGGAGAGAGAGAAAGATGGAGGGGGCAGGGAGGAAAAGAGAAAAGAGTGAGCTCATGGGTATTTGCTTAAGGTTCTACATATAAGAGCAGAATGCTTAGTGATCCATTAACCAAACCATTCTAACCACCCTGGGGATTTAGTGCAACACAGACAAACGGGATTCAGAGGGACCTTCCCCATTAACCCCAGAACTCCATCAGATCCACCCAGAAGCAAGGAGTCACTTTCCTGCCTTCAGCCAAAGCCACCCAGACCACGGGATCCCCCCAACAAGATATTTAGCTGACTTTTCAGCAGACCCTATGGAAGCCAGAGAACAGTTGGGAAAAACTACTAATCTGGAACAATGGCCCCTACATACACTATCCTGCAGAAGTGAAGGTAAAAGAAAGTATTGGTGCACATTTCTCAGGAGTCTCCTTGAGACAACTGGGCCATTCAAACCACGAGGGGCTTTCTAAAGTCCAAACCAGAGATTTAAATGAAAATATCTCGGTATGTTACCAGCATACTGTTTACAAACAGTCAAACCAATGTCACAGAAAAAGCATATTTTACCTGCTTTATACAATATTGAGGCCTTTGCATAATCAATCCAATGGACACGTTCATTCCCATTTTAGGAGAATCAGAATATTATTCAAATTATCAAGTTTTGTAATTACTGGCATTGAGCAACTAAATAAATAAACATACCTTTGCTTTTACGATATATTCTTGGTCATATCTGGATGGTAAATCTTTACTTAAAAACCACAATAATGTTTTAACATTGTTTGAGAGGCAACATATTATAGTGGTTTAATTACTCAAGCTTTGAAGTCCAACTGCCTAAAATAAATGCTGGTGTCCCCATTAACTAGCTGTGTGGCCCCAGGCAAGTGACTTAACTACTCTGTGCCTCAGTTTTTTCATACGTAAAATTAGGATAACAGTATCTATTTCATGCACTTGCTATGAGGATTGTTAATGCACAGTAAATGCTTACAACAGTATCTGCATACATAGTAAGGACACTACAAATACTCATTATTATTCCTATAGGGGAATATGATGAGTCTTTTTGGTGTGCACTTAAAAATGTGGTTTCCAGGAATATACCAAGTTGAAAAGTGGGGAATGCTTGAATTTAGGTCTTCTTGTGAAAACAAGAACAAATCTTTAAGGCAAAGACAGATGTGGACCATGAACTGTAAATCCCATTTTTAGATGCTAACTCTTCCAAAATATTGTCAAAGTACAATCCTTTCCCAAACCTACACTCCAGCCCAAGAGAGGGCATTTTAAATGAGTGACTAGGTCAGCCAGTTTTAAGTTCCAAGAAAATCAGAGAGATCTGCAGTTCAGTTTTACTATTTTTCCATCCTACTGCCCACAGAAAACAGTCCCATAAATTTGCTTCAAACTTTCCCCCAAACACTCACCTCTGGCCAGAGTCCAATTATAAGAAACAAGGTTGCCAAAGACCATTTTAAGAGCTGGTTTTAACAAATGAAAAAAAAAAAAAAAGGTTTTTCCAACACGATCTACAGGATTTACCACCAGGGATCCTTTTCCATGGGCTACACACATACACGCAGCCACATTTTTATTAAGCATGATTTGATCTATGTGGAAGAAGCTTGTTCGGCTTTCATTTGGGAACTTAACCACAGACTAAGGGGCTTCAATTTGGAAAAAGCTGAACGAGATTCTCTGATGAATTTAACTGTGCTCACCAAAGCTACCGTCCAGGCACACAACTCTGCCCCAAATTCTCATTCCCCACCGTCTTCCTCCTGCCCAACAGGACAGAGAGACAAACATGTAGTACTACCGTTCCAAGACGGCACAGAAAAGGCTCTAATGTCACCTTCACGTTCTCCAGTATCCCACATATCACACACTCCTTCTCCCCAGCGGGGAGAGGCAGCTCTACCACACACTTCCATGGCAGACAGGTGATGTAAAGGAAAAGATATAAAATAGGCAAAAATCATCATCTATTTAAAAAAATTGTTATAGGGGCGCCTGGGTGGCTCAGTCGTTAAGCGTCTGCCTTCAGCTCAGGTCATGATCCCAGGGTCCTGGGATCGAGCCCCGCATCGGGCTCCCTACTCTGCGGGGAGCCTGCTTCTTCCTCTCCCACTCCCCCTGCTGTGTTCCTTCTCTCTGTGTGTCTCTGTCGAATAAATAAAATCTTAAAAAAAAAAAACTGTTATATAAATTAGAACCCCACTAAACTCCTGACAGCAAGATCAGCCAACCGTGCCTTGTCCTCTGGTATCAGAGAAGGATAGTCCCCACTATCGATACAGCCCTTAGGACACAGCTCCTGCAGCCCCTATCCGTCCACACGCGTCTGGAACTGGCAGAATCAGCTGGAAATTGAAGAGCAACACTGCCCACCAGCAAGTAACATCATGGATGGTCCGCTTCTCTGGGGGGGGGGGGGGCGTTTCCCGAGTAGGATCAGGGATGGTCCGCTTCTCTGGGGCGGGGGGGGGGGGCTTTTCCCAAGTGTTTCAAAGACCATTTTCATATGCAAAGGCCTAACACAGCCCTGTTCCACCTATTTCTACTCTAAAAGTGCTTATATATTTTTCAAACTTCTGTCTACCTCTTAAGTGAAAATACTTAAGAATCAGGTATTAAGCCTCTGACATCAAATATGCCAGGAACTATTTAACTTTTCAAAAATAAAATGTGTTATAGGGCACCTGGGTGGCTCAGTCGGTTGAGCATCCGACTCTTGGTTTCGGCTCAGGTCGTGCTCTCACAGTTGTGGGATCGAGCCCTGCATCAGGCTCTGTGCTCGGCGTGGAATCTGCTTCAGATTCTCTCTCTCTCTCCCTCCCACTCACTCCCTCTCTAAAATAAGTACATAAAATCTTTTAAAAAGTAAATAAAATAAAATGTGTTATGTTTTATTCCAAAACAGTACCTCTGATTCCTCACTAGAAGGACAAGACTCTCCTCACCCCTTGAGTTCTCAGGGCAATCTGGGCAGATAAACAGTTTTGATCACACACATAATCCATGTCAAGCTCAAGTTTTAAAAATTCGTTTAAGTGATGATTAGGACTGGGAATTATTGGTCACTTGAAAAGAAGGCACAAAGAATCATGTTGATCAAGTGCACAAATAAAACATGAGCTCAATTTAATGCTAGGCTGTGCTGTTTCTAATTTAGAAATTCAAATTCTAATTTGATAAGTGTTTTGGAGATTTTTGAGATAGTTATAGATGCACACGCAGTTATAAGAAATAACATACAGGGATCCCCATGCACACTTTATACAGTTTCTTCCAATGGTAATATTTTACAAAACCACAGTATATCACAACCAGGATATTGGCATTGCTACAATCTAGCACACTTATCCACCTTTCTCCAGTTTTGCTTATACTCCTTTTTGTGTCTGTGTGTGTGTTTGTGTCCGTGTGTGTGTATTTGTGTCCATGTGTGTCTGTGTGTGCATTCACGCGTGTGTTTAGTTCTATACAACTGTATCACATGTACAGGCTCAGGATGCACCACAGTAAAGACCATGAACAGCTCCAACGCCATAAGGATCTCTTGGGCTGCCCTTTTATAACTACCTCCTTCCTACCCCCTTTACCCCACAACCTTCACCTCTGGAAACCACGAATATCTTCCCCATTTCCAAAATTTTATTTCAAAAATTATATGTAACCTTTGGAATTGGCTTTTTTCACTCAGCATAATTCCCTGGAGATTCACCCAAGTTGCTGACGGTATTAACATTTTGCTCCTTTTTCTTACTGCGCAGGATGCCATCATCTGGATGTCCCAAGGCTTGTTTCACATTCAGCTGTTGACGGACACATGGGTTTCCAATTTTTTGTTACTATGAACAAAACCGACCCAAACATATGTGTACAGTTTTTTGTGTAAAAATAAGTTTTTATTTCTCCAGGGTAAATGTCCAAAAGTGCATTTGCTGGGTTGCAGGGTAGTTCCACATTTAGTTCTAGAAAAATCTGCCAAACAGCATTCCCACAAGCAAGGTATGAGTGATCCAGTTTATCCCCATCCTTGACAGCATTTGGTGCTGTCACTGTTTTATCTGAGCCAGTCCAATAGGTGTGTGTAGAGTTAGTACCTCTTTGATACCCTTTAAACGAGCTTTGTGAGTGCACCAAGTGTCAGGGCCACCTGGGTGGTCCAGTTGGTTGAGTGTCCAACTCTTGGTTTTGGCTCAGTCAGGATCTCAGGGTTGTGAGATCGAGCCCCACACTGGGCTCTGTGTTCAGTGCAGAGTCTGCTTCTCCCTCTCCCTCTCCCCTTGCCCCTCTCCACACTCCTGTACTGTCTCTAAAATAAATAAATCTTAAAAAATAACAAAATAGAGGGTATCAAAGTGTGAGCAACCCAAAGCTTGAGAACAAGACAAGCTGGGTGAACTTAGCTGAGACACAGGACTGTCCTGACCCCCTTCACTCGCCCTTCTCCAGGCTCTTCAGTTTCTAATAGAAGGTGAAAAGGCAGATAGAGAAACAAAACTTTTAAAAGTCTTAACAAGGGGCGCCTGGGTGGCTCAGTCGTTAAGCATTTGCCTTCGGCTCAGGTCATGATCCCAGAGTCCTGGGATCCAGACCCGCATCAAGCTCCCTGCTTCTCCCTCTCCCACTCCCCCTGCTTGTGTTCCCTCTCTGGCTGTGTCTCTCTCTGTCAAATAAATAAATAAAATCTCTTTAAAAAATAAATAAATAGAAGTCTTACGAACAGTAAGAAAGAAACTATCTTTGTGGCAGCTGAGATCAAGCCAAAGTGAGAGTGCAGCAGCCTTCTGGATGGGCCACAGCGCATCCTGCCGCAGCCTGAACGAGGACGGCCACCTGCCCTCCGCTCCCACAGCTCCCCCAGTGTGTACACTGAGCGGACCCTCTGCTCAACAGCCCCCCTGCGCAGGCCAATATCCCATCTTGTTCAAACTACAGTAACATAAGCCCAGAACCTAACATGGCACCGAGC